GATCCTTTTCCCACTTTAAAAATTGGGTTATTTGTCTTTATTATTAGTGGTAAGAGTCTTTTGTACAAGCCCTTTATGAGTAAATGATTTGCAAATATTTTTGCCCACTCTATGGGTTGTCTCTTTTACTTTATTGATGATAGGATACCTGAACTTTTATTTTATTTAAGCATAGATCTAGAGCTAGTACCACCTCCCTTATCAAAACAAAACATAAAAAAACTCCATTTTTTTAAGGGGTAGGAAATGAGATGAGTGATTTAGCATATCCCTAATCTCCCTTCCCTTCATTTTATACAGAACAGAAAAAAGGCAAATGGTCGAGAGAGAACTACTACAACTATTTTTTGTTGTTACTCTGCTGGCCTTTCTGTTCCAGGAGTTTCTTTCAAATTTTGGATTATAATCCAAGTTGAAACTAGTGTTTTTCTAAAGTAGAATCAAATTAAACATAGTACTACAGTTCTTGAGCATGTGAGGGTTTTGTGAAGCTTGTTTCCATGCAGGGTGCCTTTGTGCACTGAGCTAGGTTACAGTATAAAATCTACTTAGGATCTTGGTTAAAAGAAACGCTTGAATAAACACAGTATAGTTGGTACATTATTTCTGTTTCCAGTGTTCTTGGCTTCTGTAAAGGCAGTGCTGCCGGGAGCAGACACATACCTGGCAGCTGTTCAGCCTTGGGCAAGTTACTTGATCTCAGAACCTCCATTTCCCCATTTGTAAAATTACATCTGCCTTATAGGACTGTAAAGACTAGAAACCACATTTATAAGGCAGTTAGCATACAAAAGCTCAAGAAATGCTCAGCTGCTGTTCTTAAGTCAAATTTTAAATATAGCAAGGCATTCGATATTTAAAACCTAAGTGAGTTATTTTATAAAACTATAATTACCACATATTTCACTTTAGTTCAGGCTGACAATACACTGAGCTTGTTCAAACCCCATGCTGGTGTTACACCCGGCTCCTGACTAGCTCTCCCCACCCTCCCTTCACCCCAGGTTCAATGGCCTCTTTTCTGTTAGAGAAAATTACCAACTGCCTGCGGGCTTTTGGATCTAATGTGTCCACTGCCTGGAACAATCTTCCCCAGATATTTGCATGGTTTGTCCTTTCCTTTTATTCACATCTCTGCTTAAATGTCATCTCTGAGAAGCCTTCCTGATTACCCCTTGATAAATAAGTCCCCCCATCCTCTACACTGCCTTACCCTACTTTATTTTTCTTCAGTGCACTGGCAGATACACACACACACACACACATAAATATATTTTGTTTCTTCACTCTAATGTTCTGCTCCCTCCTGACTCCCCAGTATCTAGAATAAGGTCTAATAGAAAGTAGCAATTCAATAAAAATTTACTGGATGGATGAATATACCCAGTTTCCAGGCTAGAATTTTCAGTTTTATATAACCAAACTGCATATTTAACTGAAAGTATGATGTAAACTTTGTGACTGAAAGTTAACAAGGGAACATGAATAGCAACAGTCGTGTCACCTCAACTGCATGTAACTGCCCAACATACCTTTTGCTTCCTTCATTGTCTGAGAGACAATTCTTCGGAGGGTCTGATCAACTTGATGGAGAATGCTAGCTGAACAAATAATGCGGTCTGTTTCCTATGTGATACAAACATTGTTAATGGAAGTTACATAGTTCTCATAAAAGAAATGGCAAAAGTGTAAGGGATGCGTTATGTGAAGACAGTAAAAGAAAAGTTAAAGCGGCTTTTCTGTTTCAGTTATCCTTCCCTAGAGAGGGTCTAAATGATATATCCAGTTGAAAACAGTTCCGTGGAGACAATGAATGGTATGTTGGTAAATGTCTAACAATGGGCTTTCCAGTAAACCACCACCCAGTGTCTGTCAGTTACCATGGTGTGAATATTCCCATCCTTTCCCGTTTCAAGCCACCAACCTAAGGTCAACAGCCTCTGACATTTCTGAAAATCTGCCGGTGGGCTTTGACCAGCCGCTGCAAGCTGCCTGCAGTGCACTGCTGCTTATCCCATCCCCGTGTCACAGGTGGATGCTGGCACGACGGCAAGGCAGTGACAAAGCATTTTTCATATTTTACACTCAGTTAAAAAAGATCTTCCTATAAAGTTGTGCCTTCTCATTTATTTTAAATCTATACTGACTTACCTTTTGTTCCATGTTGTCCTCAACATATTTTACTGGATTTTCCAAGGCAGTAAGCAATAAATCAGTCAACTTCAAGCTAGAAGAGAAAGAAGGTGGGATAAAATACATCCGTACATCAAACATGTTTTTAAAGAACTTGTGTTTATGAATACTAAGCTTAATTCTAGAGGAATGAAAATGCTATAACCTAAGACCCTAAACAAAAGGAAACATGGAAGCTACCTTCTAAATCCTTCAAAATCCAAGTGTATTCAAAACAAATTATAAGCCTCCTGAAATCCACTTATGGAAAAAAACATTTCCTAAGACTTGTATCAGTAAGCCTTGAAAGGATATTTTCTCTTTTCCTCACTAAGTGCTGAACTTTAGCTGCTAGAACTTCATTTTACTCCCTCAGGGATGCTCAGCCTGTACTTTCTAGCTCCTGCTTAGGTATTGGACATAGACCGGCAAGTTCCTCACTGGTCCCAGGGCCATGGAGGGTTGAGTTCATTCAGTCATTTAATAAACAGTTATTGAGCATCTTCTAATATGAAAAATATTATACAACTACATACATGAAACTACGTGCTAAGCTGAAAGTGTAGCAAGATCCCCACCCTCTAGGCGTGAAATGCAATGAGACGAGGCAGGAAATACATAAGCAAAAATAATAGTTTCAGATGGTGACAGGTGAATTAAGCAAAGTGATTGTCCAACTCATATTCTTCACAGGCGTTAGGACAGTCAGGGAAGCCAGTCAAGCATAAATATGTGGTAGAGGGGACGGCACATACAAAGGCCCTGGGGCAAGAACAGCCCTTCTCATGGTCATGGGAGAGAAGGCCATTTGGCCAGAAAGTAGCAAGAGGCGAAAGCGGTAGGATACGAGGTCGGGGAGTTAATCAGGGATAGAATGTGTAAGTTACGGTAAGGAGTTTGAATCTTAGAGTGCAGAGGGTAGCACTAATAAAATTTGAGCCAGTGAACTCACTGAGTGAAATCTCAACTTCAAGGTGATCTTTCTCACACTGAAAAGAGCCCAGGTTCTGGAGTGAGTGAGATTGCACTGGGTCCAAACCCTCGGCCACTTGCTCCCACTACCAAGTGCCACTGCTCTGCCACTTACTACCTGGATGTGCTACCTTCTTGGGTTTCAGTTATCCTACCTATAAAATGGGGACAGTTATATTTACCCTCAAGGTTTGCCATGAGGACTGAAGGTGATTATACATATAAAGGGTTCGGAACATGCCCAGTACGTGGTGTCTGCTCATAGCCGGGGCTGCTAGGAGTAGCAGTGTTTCACGGAACCTGGGACAGGCCCCTTTGTCAGATTATCTTTCAATTTTTCAAGGCAGGGTCACCAGACTTCCAACAACCCTTTCACAGGTATGTGTGACTAGTCTGGATATGTGAGAAGGTGACCAGACTCTGAAGGCCCAAGACAACACTGCAGATTATCTAAGAGTTGGCATGGGCACTGGAGATGCCCACACCTCCTCCCCTCCAGAAAGGACGCAAGGCAGTGGGGATAACCTGAGGCTGCTCTCACAGGGTATCTCAGTGCCTCAACCAACCATTCACTGCCAAAGGAAAACATTTCAAGTATTCCAGAGTGAGTAGCAATCAACTAGTTATTGCCTGCTCAAAGGTTCAGGATATTAGGACAAATTAAAATTAAGAACCTCAGCAGCAGCTTATTTTATAAACCCTAGAAACAACAGTCACTTAATCCATTTTGTGGGGGTGGGTGGTTGTTTGTATGTTAAAGCATATATCACAAAATGCATGGAAGCTGTATCCTGGGAACTAAACATTTTGAGGAATGACTTTAAAAAATTTACCTTTTAAAAGTTTCCAATGCCAAGTTAGGCAGGAGCTAAGGAAATGTGGGCAATATACCTCTAGAACTGCGGTGTATGATACAACAGCCACTAGCCACATGAGGCTACTTAAGTTTAAAGTAACTAAAATAAAATTTAAAACTCAGGTTGTTGGTTTCACCAGTTACCTTTCAATTGCTCAATAGCTGCACATGGCCAGCAGGTACGATACTGGACAGTGCAAATTAGAACATTTCCATCATTGCTGAAATTTCTATTAGGCGCTGCTCTAGAACTCTCAGGACATCTATTGTGAATGAAAGCTTTAGCACCACAGCCACAAGCATCATATATACAGACCTAAGCTACTTTAGCAAGAGCATCAGAGATGTGCCCTATTCTGAATTCCCTGCTCTGACCTCTGGGAGGATATAATCTTAACAAGAGTACACGTTTGTGAACAAATTTGGGTTCACATCTCAGCTGTTGAGGTCCATGACTCTGGACAAATGAAACTTCTCACTCAGTTTGCAATAATCTCCCTCCCGCGCTTGCATAAGGATTAACCAAGTGGAATACAAGTAAAGCACTTGAGCACCTTGCCTGATGGCTCTGAGTAGGATACCTGGCCTCGGAAGAACACATCGCAGTCTGAATTGTGAGGCTGTTGTGTTCCCAAGCGTTTTTTTCAGGGTTAGGCTTTTCTATCTTGCTTCCCATCAGGTGGATGGTCTGGGTAGGCAGTGCCCGTGGTCTCCGGCTATTCCTCTGTAAACAGGTCTCGAGAGGACAGTCTAAAAAGAGCTGGCAAAAGCCTAATGAATCTAAAAACAATTTGAAAGCACAAAATTATTGGCATACTGTATTTCCAAAATGTGAAATAAACAAATCAAATTATCCCAGCTACAGCAGGAAAAATCATTAGCAATCCTGAACATGTAGCTCTGAAAACTAAGTAAATCCATATAAATCCCGTGATCCAATTAAATGCTCATTAAAGGCAGCAGTAATTTTGATATGAGAATAAATGCCTGTGTGTAGGAAAAAAAATGTTTTAATTACATTTCCGAGCCAGTTGGTAAACTTCGTATCTCATACTTTGATAATAAAAATTGTCATCTAAAACCAAAAGCAAAGGTCTAGAAACAGCAGTCTTCGTCAGGAAGTAGCAAGACTGAGCCTCATGAGCTGCAGAAGAAACCAGATCTTGATCCTTTAAGCAGGTTATAAAATCTTCCCACATGGCTTCAGTCCTGTTGGGTGGGGCAGACATCTGACACCCGTTGATGACAGCCGTCAAGAAGCCTTCTAGGTACTTCAGCAGTTCCTGTCGAAGCAATTTCCATTGGGATGGCTACAAAAGTCAGAAGAATTAACAATTCATATTAGGCTTTGGCCAGCAGGGGCGGTCATGCCACATTGTCACCTTGCCTTATATGCAAGTTTCAGCCCACAATGCTGAACCATCTGAGTTCTCTAAACTTAACAACTTATTTTCTCATCCTCTGTGTCTTAGTATATACACTGTACCCTCTGCGGAAAACTCCTACTCAGTGATGTTAGTCCTTTGTGATTCTTTTCAAAGTCAGCCATGCAGAAGGCAGCTCAGGCCCTCCCCTGGCAATGACACCCTGTTCTGTACATACTGGGTCTCCGCACTAGCATGGTGTACACTGTTGCGGCATTTGTTTGCACATCTCTATCTTCCTGCTAGGTGAACAGTCCATTGTATAGCCAACCTCCAGCAGGGGGTCTGGCACCAAATAGGTGTTCCAGAAATACAGATGAAGTGACTGACTGACTCAATGAATGAATACATGAAAGAATGGAAAGTGGTTCCCGTCCAGGAGAAAGGAGGAGGCAGCATCGATATCCCGCCAAAATAGGTCTTACTGAGATACAGCAATGTTGGTTTGCCCTTGAAATGAGAGAAGTTGAGGACAGAAAGTGGATCAGCTGAAAGGTCCCTGGGTCAAGAGGAAAAGGCCACAGGCTATCAGCCAGGTTGGGATGGGATGGGGGAAGCTAGAGGAAGCAGATGGAGAAGAGAACAGCTAGAGAATACAGGTCATCTTGTGCTGCTGAAGGACTGGAAGGCACTGACATAGGTATGAGGTCAAGGCTGGAGGGAAAACAGGACAGGAGATCTGGGTCCCCCTCCTGCTGTACTTGCTTTACACATCGCTGAGCTTACAGCACGTACAACAAACACGTCAGCTAAACCTACTAAAAAGGAACCACAGCTCACTTCCTAAAAGGTGAGGTTTCCTATCCATGGTGACTAGGTGAATAGTAGAAGACGGGGAAAAAACATAATAATACAACAAATACAACAACCTTTATCAACAACTATCAGCTTTCACCCGAGTGGTGGAGATTGTGTCTCACAACTAAGAATGGGGATGTATATATAACTGCTAGAGCGGTCCAAGATTTTTCCACACACCAAATGTACTGTATCTTTGCATATGTACTTATAGAGTGGAATCGCATATTTTCATTTTATTTATGTGAATTCATCTACACTCAGGCACTAAAAAAATGACAAGTGTAACTATTTAAGTATTTCAGAATATGTCAATCAAAGAGTATTTGTTCTAGAGTGAGGATGGGATGGGAGACAATCTTCGCTTCCCCCAGAGGCTGTTTTCATATGCTTCTCCATGTGTTTTCACGTGCATCTTACTGTGCTGGTTGTGATTTGAGGACCTAAAGAGAAGGGAGTATTTGAAACATACCAGCCCATACTTCATCTGGCAGTTAAAAAAGGAACAGCCATCTTTTCCTATGCTGGCAGAGGCAAGTTCACCCTGAGATGAAGAGTGAGCTTCAGAGGCCACGCCTGTCATTTGTACACCTCTATTTTCGTGGTTAGAACGCTAGGAATCTTGTTATATGTAATTTTGTATTTTTTTTTACAAAGGGTCCCCAGACTGTATAAACTTCAGATCCCACAAAACCTGGATTCGCCCATGGCTGGATGCTAAACTGTGTTGGAATTTTTGAGAGGTTGCATCCTTCTCCTGAGATCAAGCTTCCCAAAGGATTTTTAAGTCTATTTGCCTCTGAGCGATTTCCACCTTGCAAGCTAATTTCAAAACCTAACCGTGTCTGAAGACTCCACTGTGTAGGATATACGATACATATATAACCCCAAATGTACATATAAACGCCTAAAATGAATTATTCTAAGATGGATCAGCTCAGTCATGTTAATCCAGCTCCCGTCTCCCGGGCCAGGGATCCACTTCCCACACTGCACACGGCCCAGTATTTTGTACTTTTCCTCCCGCGACCCGTCTCGGGCCCGCCCCCTCCGTACGGACCAATGGCGGTGCGCTCGCCTCCTTGATGAATGCGTCAGGCATGACGTCATCGTAGGCTACCACGCCGACGGCCCAGCGGCCCTCCTGCCGCAGCCGGTGGCTGAGAACCCGTGCGAAGGTCGACTTTCCTGCTGCGGGTAAGCCGCAGAGAACGCAGAGTCCCAGCTTCCGCGGCCCCTCGCTGCGCGCTCCTCTGACGTGCTCGCTGGTCTTCATGCGGCCCTGGGAGATGGAAGGCGGCCGCCACTCCGTCCGGCTCCTCCCCTCTACCGCGCACGCGCAGCCTCCCACCGCCCTGCTGCGCCGCCTGGTGCCCGGAGCGAGTCTTGCAATTCTCAAACGCGCGGCTCCCTGCTGTTTCCGAGGTGGTCCCGTTGGTCACCCGGAGCGGGTGTCGAGCTCAGTGACGCAAGTGTTCTGGGCTGGGGAGATCCGGCGATGCACTTCCTAACTCCTGGACATTTCCCGAAGGGTCAGAGTTGCACTTAATCTTCAGTTAGAATCCTCCTCTCTACCGGAAACTTGCAAGCCATTAGGAATTGCGTTTTAGTTTTGTAACAGTGAAGTGCCCTGCCCTGAAAAATCCCGGAAGACACTTTTTGGAGTGGCGAAGCCGACAACCCGACGACGGCGCTCTGCTGCCCTCCCGGATGATGGGTGGAAGGGCAAATAAATGTTAGCTACTGCGCCACAAGTGGGCAGCAACTGGGATGAAACAGGCAGGAAAGGAATATCCCTATACCTTAATTTCAACGCGTTCATGCAGAGGACAGTAGATATTTTAGTGTTAAAAAAGATAAACTAAACTGTGGAGACGTATAAAACAACTTCCTCGTACGGGGTGGTGTTGTAGAAAAACTAAATTCGGATTCGGGCTTTCACCTTATTTTTAAGAGGATTACTGCTTAGTCATAAGGATGTTCAAAATGTGAACAAGCGAGGTTACTACGGGTAATCCAATGCTAAATTAGTGATGACAGAGCCAGTGAACAATCTTTTTCTTTCTCTTGAAGGTGAACACTGAGTTAAACACACTCTCCATTTCGTATTGTATTGCCTTGATCTGGTGCAAGATCCCTCTCCTTGATTTATTGTACACTTTTGTGGGTAAAATTGTAACATTTCCAGAATATCTCGCCTGGCTTTAGTACATCTGCATATCAATAGGCGTTCAGAGGGGGAGAGAAGATTGGCTTTGGGAATTACCTGCGCATGGAGGGCTTATCTGTACCCGAGAGGTGAGGTGAGGGCCGGTTTTGCTTCTGCTGGAGCAGGAGAGATGGCCCGGGACTGCAGTTTGCGAGCAATAAACGGATTTTAAACTTTATTTCTCCCTTTGATTTCGGTTTTTAAAGGTATTTTGCCCCAGGATTTCCTTTCCCCAGATGTACACCGTCCATGGGTTGTACTTGTTGGGAGAAGCAATCTCTCGTGTACCCTTACTGTTCCTGCATTCTCCATTGGGTTTGCCAAGACTGCAGTGCCCTGAGTGCCATTCACCTGAGTCGTTAGTCAGGCTTATGTTGCAGTGAGCAACCTGGCAAGATGAAGTAATGTCTTCCTCCACAGAGCAACCTTGCTTGTTTGCTACAAAAACACTTTGTCATGCAACCCAGTCTGTGCGGAGGCATCCATCATGGGTCCATGTCATCACCATGGGACTTGAGGAGAATGAGAAACGGACACAATCCAAAGTGAAGCTCTGATTACTGCTTTGCTTTGAGTAATAAAGTCCTTTTTCTCTGACCCAGAAGTCTTGTGTATTCTGCCAGCAACCATGGAAAAGTAACAGCTTTTGGTTATTAGCTGTAAGAAAGGGTAAAACCTCAGATCCCACAGTTCGTGACAGTTTTGGTGATGAAGACAGACTGAAGACAGAGACACTGCTTTCTGGAAGAGGAAGAACAAAAGAACTCTGCAGGTCGGGTTAGGGGATATGAGAAGACTCCCCAGTATCCGGAAGCAAATGGTATTGTCCAAGTGAGTATGCTAAGAACTTTGGGAAGGGAAAGGACTCAAAACTCGACTGCTGTATTGGTACTAGTCCCCGTACTCAAAATGACCTGGTCTTTGGCATCCCCGCAATTACAGGGGACAACAGATGAACCTAAATGCAACTTCATCCCCAAAAGACATTTGTGGTCCATTTTCCCTCAGAAACCTGAAGGGGTACAGGTCACTCCTGTTTAGGCTTTATTGTTACCCTTGACTTAAATCACTATTACATTAGATTGTCGCATGGACAGTGTCACTGAGTCAAAGTGCAGCCTCAGTTGTCACAATCCGTCCCTTTTGATCCTCATAAGAGAAACGAGGTTGGTCGGTAGCTCTTCCTGCCGGAGCAGTCACTGTGCTTTGGACTTGGAAGTTAAGACTGCTTGACTGACCTCACCTCACTGGTCTGTTATGCCAGGCAGGGCTTTAGGCATGGCACAGGACTCTTGCCTTACCTAGGTCTCCTGACTCCCAGCAAAGGATCTAACACCTCATTCTACATCCCTTTTGTTCATCTTTAGTAATTCCTAGAAATAAGCCTTCTGCAACCTCTTTCTAGTCACAGATTTTCACCTGTAAAAATACTTTGCCTACTAAGATTTTTAAAAACATAACAAAGGTATCCTAAAATATGAGCCAGATACTCAAATGTCATCTAATTTTATATGTGTAGCATTTTCTGATTTCCCAAAGGACCATTCTGCTCCTGGTATTGTGAGGTTGAATGCAAGTCATTTACTTAATGTAATCATCAATCTCATTAACTCTAAAAACCACTAAAGTGTCTGAAGAAAAGATCAAAGGTACAAGAAGTAGGGCCGCTAAGACAGGAGAATCTAAATGTTACCAACCTCTGGTTCACAGCAATGATGATGAAATGGATTTGAATTCCTTGCTTTTTTAAGCTTCCAAACAACCATCTTGCAAGTAAGCAATTCTTAAAAGAGATTTCCATTGATCTTTGTTTTCTTCCTATCATTGTTATATGTTTAAAATAATTATAAAGATGTTTAAAACAAACTCAATAGTGTAATAAATGAGCTTTGTATTTTAACGCTGTGGAAGTTATTCAGTTCACTTGATATTTATGTATGAGATACTATGTTAAATACTTGGGGATTCACACTTAAAGATCTGCTGTTAAAAAAAACTCATTATTTGAGGAGAGAAAGTGAGGAAAGTAAAATTATCAACAGCACAGAGACAAATGAAACTACAAATTAAGAAAATTTACACCTGTTGTTCACATTATGTTTTATATATAAGCACAGCCAACAAAGGTAAAACTGAAAGGATTCAACAGACCCCCTTAGCCTGCAATCCAATAATAGTACAACATATCTCTGGAGGGATGTTAATAAACATATTTCAAAATTCTATAATTTTGCATAAAGGTGAGTAATTTTTGTAGGAATCATGTAATATTCAAAATGTTTTGTGAGTATATTATGTACAACTTTGGATGGGTTACTCTTAAACATGCAAGTTCTAAGAACATAACAAAGAATAACAAAACACACTCAGCTGATCCGGCTTGGGTGTTACTTTTCTTTATTATTAATTTACCAAAAGAAGAGATGATTCACCTAGACCTTAAAACTTTAGGTAAACTAAGTCACTGCTGAGTTCCC